AACAGACAGTGAGCTATCTGGAACAAACATATTTCCTATTCACAAATATCTTATTAAAAATGAATTCAGTTTATCAATGCAGAAGGCCCCTCAACTTATCTCTGGAATCCTTCCCCCCAAAATTCAAGCCACATTAGAAGCCCTTAAGATGGTAGATACCAGAGTAAAGCTTTCTCAGAAGTGGCTCCCAATTTTGGCCCTCATTCTGCAAATAGATACCTAGCACTGTGTAATTATCATTTAAATAATAAAAATGTCAACAACCCTGAAGTTATATTTGTTCTTTGTTCTTTAAAGTTCTTTGTTCTGGAGTTCTATCTTTGTCCTATGCCATATATTTGTAGCTGTTTCTGTTTGTTGTAAGAGGTCTTGTGAGACAGTTTGCTCTATAAAGTGAATGAGATTGCTTTATGTAAATGAATTTATTTAAATTACACTTTCATTCATCTAAATACAGCTGGATACACCCTTAACTCTGGTGTCTTGTGCTTAAATGAGAACCTTACCTGGAACATACTTTAAAGTACTTCTTCCTCCTGCAATTTTAAATTCTCTAAATTTATCAATATTAATTTGCAAGCATTTAGCAGTACTTCACAATAATTACTACTCCTCTCACCGCAATATCTCTATTGTCATTAACATGCACATGTAGCAGCTGATGGATTCTCCACCAGAATACATGGATGAACTCAGATCTTCCTAACACAAATGCAACCTTCTTTGTTATGGCACCAAGTCTGTTTTTTTCTGTCTTTCTCACTATCTTGGACAAAGCCTAGTCACATTTGGTGGGTGTGGACATGGTGCTTAGTCACTGTTGCCCTTACTCCAAATGTAAGAGTTTAATTTGGGAGTGGAAGACATATCTGTTCTTATTCTTCTTTCAATAAATATTTCATCCATCCTTTCTGGGAAGCAATCAACAGTTTTTAATGTTATTGAGTTTCAAAATTATCTGTCATTTATCTTTCCAATAAAGCATTTTTGAAATACTGTTACTTCAATAGAAGGAAGACAGGCACCTCCCTTCTCATAATACCTTCAATTAAACTTTGCAAGACCAGATTATCATCAGGCTTTTCCCCCTAAAGTCCACAGTTTGATGAGTTCTACATTAAACCATTTTATTAACATAAACAGCACTATATCTCAAGCTATACTTTAATATCAAGATCACCAAAAAGAGGCTCCAATGTGTACTTTAATAGGTATCGATTCCAATTGGTAATAGAATTTACTGAATGTTTCTGCCAAGATATTTTATGGTAAGCAAATTAAAAGTTTACGCCTAAGTTTCAGAGGCAAATAATCACCCATTCTGTATTAGGAACAAGCTTTTTTTTGTCAATACCTTATTTTACCACTACCAAACTCTAAGCTGACATTTAAAATACATTTCACTTTGACATGCACAATTCCACCCCACCCATATTCCTTTCATCCAATAACAATGCAGCTCCAGAATCTTTGTTAAAATTAGGTGACAAGCAAATACAATGGGAAAACAGAGATTTACCAAGGAGAAAGGATGTAATTCTCATGCAAGTCAAATAAAAAGAGAGACAGACAGACAGACAGACAGACAGAGAAGTAAAAGGACACAAGACACCCACATGTGGAGGGACATGGCAGCATCATCTCTAAATCTGCATTCCACAGGTAGCCTTCACTGATGCAAATTAAAACAACAAATCAAGTCAGTTCTCTGCTCATTGTGTCACCGGTTTGCTATGACTCTCCCCCAAAAATCCACGACCACACAATTTCAGGCTGCAGAGTAGAACTGATGCAGGCAAGACACTGCAGTGTGAGGGTGAATCGGATGGTTTTTGTTTGCTTTGCAGCAAATGAGAAGTCAGCACATTAAGGCAGGGATTAACACCCCCATTCCCGATCCTTCCCATTGCCTCCACCTCCCTTCTAGTCAATCAGAGCTCACAAGGCAACCTTACCTACCGTAGCTAGAGGAAGAATCAGAGATAAGAGGCTAGCAGTCTGTTGTTTGAATTAAGTCAGGAAAAAGAAGATGTAAAAGATGGAAAGTACCGTTTTGTCCAGGCACTGGAGACAGTAATAAAGCTTGCAGCAGCACTGGCCCATTCTGGCAGGCTGGCTGAAAAAGCAACCAGCTTCATTCAGATTGTTTAATTCCTAAACCCCAGGAATGCCTTTTAAAAAAAAAACCGGAAAGGAAAAGATGGACTGCTGGCCACTGACACCAACTTGTTTCTGTGATTCTTCTGTAGCTACCAGGTTCTCTGCTCATTTAACTTCAGGCATGCCGGAGGATTAAAAAGGAGGTGTGGCCAAGCAAAGCAGATCTAGATTCTGCCAGAGGAAAGGCAGAGGGGAGGAGGGACAATGTGCTACTGGATGCCTTCCCACAGAACAAGGCAGATCAATAGAGAGAAACCAACATAATATATGAGCAGTCATTCTCTGGAAGCACCCAGATGCTCCTCCCCGAACAGCCAAATAGACAACACAGCATGCCCAACCCAGCATCACTGTGCACTTTATTGTACCTACAGTTGCCTGCAAAGGTAGAATATAGATAGCTGCATGATGGATGTGAATGCAATACAAAATATTAAAAGTGGATATATAAGTAGTGGAGGAAGCATGCGCATACAGCACATTTGGGTAAGTTAGGAGAGTGCATGTACTTCAACCAACAGAATTCCCAAGTTGAACTGCTCTTAACAGAAGAGAATAACAGAGTGGGAAGGGACCTTGGAGATCTTCTAGTCCAACCCTCTGCTCAAGCAGGAAACCCTATATCGTTTCAGACAAACCCCTGGGGAAGATCCTTACTGGGGTGCCAGAAGGAAGACTACATAGCCAAACACAATAGTAATCGCTTGTATCAAGTGGCTTCGGATGGATTAATTTTCTGAACCATTCAAGAATGTCAAGCGTGTTACCTTTCTACCATGACCAAACAAATGCATAGGCTTTCTTCTTCATTAGAAACATCTTGCATTATTATCTTCTCAAACTAGTTATCTTCTCATTAGGAAGTGACGTAGGGGCCGGGTGGCAATGGCAATAATGCCGAGAGTGTGAACAGGCATTCTCATATCTATATAAATCAGTGTTTCTCAAGCTTGTCAGCTTGAAGAAGTCTGGACTTCAACTCCCAGAATTCCCCAGCCAGTGAATGCTGGCTGGGGAATTCTGGGATTTGAAGTCCAGACATCTTCAAGTTGACAAGCTTGAGAAACACTGATATAAATCCATTTTTATGTTTTAACTGTGTGTTCTGCAAGTCATATCTCACTGGCATAAGAATTCTCTTTAGCTTGATTTTAATCCACATATTTGACACAATAATTCATTGTGGGTTCCACAGTTTTTATTTGGAAATGCCTTAAATTAGTCAACTGTAATTCCCCATCGTCTGTTTCCTATTTTATAATCTATTTGATTCAAATAGTAATCAGAGGCCAATGGCCGATCATATCAGTAGGACTGTTGTTTCTGGAAAATTGTATTTAGTTACCCCCCCCCCCCCTTCATCTATATCAATTTTCTCAGCCTCATCAAGTTTAAGATGTATGAAATTCAACTCCCAGAAGTCCCTAGCCAGTGGACTGGCTGGGCAATTCCAGAAGTTGAAGTCCACATATCTTAAAGTTGCTAAACACTTTTCTTTACGCTTCAATTTTGGTGGCAAGAAGGATGAGCACTTTGACAAAGTAGAAGGGCTCAGTAGCTCTAAGTTGGGTGTGGCATTGTTATGAGAATGACTTCATGACAGAATCATCCCTGCTGGTAAATTCAAAAGGGGAGCATTGAAACTAAAAGCAATCTACAATAAGGATGACATCAGGTGAAGTGCTGCAGGCATGCGGGAAGCCAACCTACATACTTAGGAGAAGGTCCTCTAAAATATAAAGGCAGGGGCAAACCACTTCTGTATTCATCATACAAAAGCTATGTATGCAAATCAGGGATAACTAATTAAGATGTCCAATCAAAGTTCAAACAAAGGAATGGAGTGGCAGCTGTTGCATGAATAAATAATGAATTTATCTATTGACATTAGTACTTATCCATTGAAAATCAGTGTTATGCAAATGTTTGTAACACGTATATAACATGGAGGAAGAATTCAATGGCACACTGTAAGAGCATCCTAAGAGCAAAAGCAAAACAGGACGTAACAGTACTAACAGGCGACTGAAATGCAAAAGTTGGAGAAATTAGAGAATCTCATTCAGAAATTTGGACTCAATAAACAAAATAATATAAAAGAGAAAATAATTCAGTCTTGTAAAGAGACATATTTAGCTATTGCCAACATCTGGCTCAAGATAAGATTCTATACAAGGGCATCAGCGGATGGATACTATTTGAATAAATAGATTATAAAATAGGAAAAAGAAGTTGTGGAATTACAGCCGAGTCATTCAAGACATTTCGAGAGAGCCGAGGTGGTGCAGTGGTTAAATGCAGCACTGCAGGCTACTTCAGCTGACTGCAGTTCTGCAGTTCGGCTGTTCAATTCTCACCGGCTCAGGGTTGACTCAGCCTTCCATCCTTCCGAGGTGGGTAAAAAGAGGACCCGGATTGTTGGGGGCAATATGCTGACTCTGTAAACCGCTTAGAGAGGGCTGAAAGCCCTATGAAGCGGTATATAAGTCTANCTTCAAATGCCAGAGTTTCTGAGCCAACATTTTGGTTTCTAAGCAAGAGCGTTGTTAAATGAGTTTCACCACGTTTTACAAGTTGGCCATGCCTATCCAGTCACATGACTGCCAAGCCACTCCCACCCGGTCACATGGCCAGCAAGCCCACAAAGCAGGTCACACCTACAGAAGAGGTTCTAAAAAAATTTGAAACCCACCACTGCCTGACAACCATAAAACCTGCCTTGATATATTCATCTCATCTCATCTCACAGAACAAGAAATAAGAATCCTGCTGGTTTTTTTTAAACAAAACCTGTAACTAGCGAAGAACATATTTAATGTGCTTGTTTAGCATCTACTTACCAACTTCATCCTTGACATTTGCAAGCTCAGCTGAGATCTCCTTTTCTTTCACAAAGGCACTTTCATTCTGTTTAAAACAATCGAAAACAGGCCATCAGTTCATTTATTCACACAAAGTACTTCCATTAATGTATTGTCTACATTCAATTGAATAAACTGATTAAGTCTCAATAGTTAATTTATATTCACAAAGATGTGTGTCTGCATTTATAGTTTGTTACATGTATGAGCTGAATTTGGCATGCCAAGTGTTTCCTTCTCCCTTTGTTACCTACAATATAACTCAGTGAGTTGGTAGGGCTTAGAGTGATGGAGAGGTTATTATTTATGCAGAATGTGGTTGAAAAGCAAGCAATATAGCTTTCCAGGTAATCATCTGAGAACACTGATGTCTTTGGTTGAGAATAGATTAAAACTTGTTGTCAGTCTAGCACCGTAACCAATATACCCTTAATGGTGAATCTATGGCACCTGTGCCACAGGTGGCACGCAGAGCCATTTGTTAGGGCACGCAAGGCATTGCCCTGTCAGCTCCAGTACGCATGGCCAGCTGACTTCAGCCTTCTTTTTCGGCTGTTTTTCGCCCTCCAGAGGCTTCAGGAGGCTTCCTTGAAGCCTCAGAAGTGTGAAAAAAATGACCCTAGGTCAACCCAAAAGTGACTTCCAGTTTGCCCATAGGGCCGTTTTTCTCCCCCCAGAGCCTTCAGAAGGCTTTCTTGAAGGCTCCGGAGGGAGAAAAACAGTCCTATGGGCAAACTGGAAGTCCGTTCCTGAACTTCCGGGTTGCCTGTAGAACGAGTTACACCTCTTAGTAAAGATCAAAAGAGGAATATAAAAAATAATCTCATTGTTTTATTGTTTTATTGTTTGAAAGGCACCTGCATCGGGACGTGACTGATATGCAGAAAAAACAGTGAGTATTCTAACCACGTGCATCTTTTATTTTAAATTTTCAGATCATGAAAAGAAATGGGATAAAGGTGAGTTAATTGTAAATTGTAAAATGCCCAAATATTGAAAGAATGCTCAAATAAAATATGGGAAAAACAAGAATAAAGAAATGATAGTAAGCATCCTAATGATCGTTTGAGGGATCATAATAGCAATAGCACTTAGATTTATATACCGCTTCACAGTATTATATAGTCCTCTTTAAGTGGTTACAGGGTTATTGCCTTCAACGATCTGGCTCCTCATTTTACCAACCTTGGAAGGATGGAAGGCTGAGTTAACCTTGAGCCTGGTGAGATTCTAACTGCCAAATTGCAGTCAGCAGGCAGTCAGCAGAAGTAGCCTGCAGTACTACATTCTAACCATGCGCCACTACAACTCCCATAATGACACTTCTACTGAGGTTTTTACTGAATCAGTGTGATATAACAACAACAACAACAACAACAACAACAACAAACTTTATTGTCATTGTACATATATACAATAATACAATAATACAATAGCAGAGTTGGAAGGGACCTTAGAGGTCTTCTAGCAGGAAACTCTATACCGTTTCAGACAGATGGTTATCCAACATCTTCTTAAAGACTTGCAGTGTTGGGGCATTCACAACTTCTGGAGGCAAGCTGTTCCACTAATTAATTTCTGTCAGGAAATTTCTCCTCAGTTCTAAGTTGTTTCTCTCCTTGATTAGTTTCCACGCATTGCTTCTTATTCTACCCTCAGGTGCCTTGGAGAATAGTTTGACTCCCTCTTCTTTTTTGTGGCAACCCCTGACATATTGGAACACTGTTATCATGTCTCCCCTAGTCCTTCTTTCTCTTAAACTAAACATACCCAGTTCCTGCAACCGTTCTTCATACTTTTTAGTCTCCAGTCCCCTAATCATCTTTGTTGCTCTTCTCTGCACTTTTTCCAGAGTCTCCACATCTTTTCTACATCATGGTGACCAGAAATTGATTTAGCCTTTACTGGTGCAATCCATAACATGTGTTATGTGTTGCTCACAGTGGTAATAATGCTCACAATGGCAAATAAATGAGGTGTTGGCACTGACTTTAAAATCCAAATGGCTTTAAGATCTGACTAATGGAATTCCTCTCCCATTAGGGTCATGTCCAGCTGTTCAGACCTACAGGAAAAATATTTTTGAAGGTGCTCCACTGTCAAAATCCCATCTCTCAAGCATGGGGGAGAGGACACAGATTTGTGTAATGCACTCCTCGAAAATTACACACACCCATTTTTACAGCATTTACACAATCTGAAAAGATTCATTTCAATATCAGCCAGCTAGGCTATCTGCCGATGGTATATCTGATACAGGGGGTCTTGTTTTGCCATGGCACTTCTTCCTCCCATGTCTGCTGCTGCCTGAGGCATTCTCTCAGTAGCTCATTCTTGGACGCCATCTTATTAATATATCCCTGGATACTCTAGATTTTGTCCAGGACAGTGGCTTTGATATACACCATACCTCATCTGCTCTCTTGTTGATTGGTGTACAGTCCCTGGGTATTGGAGTTGAGCTGGAAATATCTCTATGTTGTGAAGCGCTTCCACTCCAGATCTTAACCTTGGCAACTTCCATGTCCTTCTTTGGCCAACTCACTGTACCAGCAAGGTTTCTGATGACTGTCAGGAATATATGTTGATGGTGTGGATTCTTCCCCTTGAGCTGGCTCTTCAAGGCCTGTATTACCCTTTGATGGTACTTGGATGTTGCTGCTTAATTGCCTCATCCTCATGGTTCTCATGTGACTGTGTAATACCAAAGTACTTATAACTGGTCTGTATGTCTGCTAGATGGCTCACTGGTGGTTCCACCCCTTCAGTTTTAATTACTTTCTGTCTCTTGACTATTATACAGTCCAAATATCATCTCAATGTCCTTACTGTAGATCCATGTCAGATGTATCAGCAATTTGAAGTATGGTTCACTCTTAGTATATACAACTTAATGTCATCCATGCAGAGAAGGTGACTGATGGCAGTTCTGCCACTGAGCTCATGAAGAACCAATCATTGTGATGATCTGGCTGAAGGGGTTCAAGCCTATGCAGCAGTGGAGATAGTAAATCAGTTGATATAGGCCACATTTTATATGCCACTTGAATGAGCTGTCTTGAGTTGACTTCCAGTATTGTCTTCTACAGTCCTATTGCATTCTTGAAGGAGGTCCTTAATCTCCGGTTAACTCAATGGCATGGCATTGAATCATAGGCTTTCCTATAGTCAATTTAGCATGTACTGAGACTGATCTATCTAGAACTGAAGTCTTAAGTAACTGCTCTAGAGTTTTGAGCTTCTAGCAATGGGTGTTTTGAGTCTCTGGTGTTTTGTATGTATGTATATATGTATGTATGTATGTATGTATGTATGTATGTATGTATGTATGTATGTGTGTACCTTTATTTATTTATCAGCACAAATATAACATATGTATATATGTATATATATATATATATTTGTGTGTGTGTATGTGTGTGTATGTGTGTGTATGTATATGTATGTGTTAGTGGCTAACACAACTGCATAATATGTAATACAGCACAGGTTCAAATCCCAGTAAGGGTATGGCCAGCTGATAAATAAATAAAGGTACACACATACATACATACATACATACACACATACATACATACACACACACACATACATATTTCTGTTATATGTTTGAGTTAGGGTTTGATTGGACAGGTATGAAAAAAATAAGGCCCATTGCTAGAAGCTCAAAACTCTAGAGCAGTTACTTAAGACTTCAGTTCTAGATAGATCAGTCTCAGTACATGCTAAATTGACTATAGGAAAGCCTATGATTCAATGCCATGCCATTGAGTTAACCGGAGATTAAGGACCTCCTTCAAGAATGCAATAGGACTGTAGAAGACAATAC